AGAGAAAGAGAGAAAGAAAGAAAGAAAGAAAGAGAGAAAGAGAGAAAGAAAGAAAGAGAGAAAGAAAGAAAAAAAAAGAAAAAGGCTAGTCAGCTGGGCCCAGTGGTCATTTCTCCCCTTGGCCCCTAGGGGGTGCCAGAGCCCATTGGAGCAAGGCATCCCTTAAGTAAGTCACTGTGGTGGGGCTTCTTGGAAGAGGTGCCATTTTCAAGGACCTTAATGGCTGTGTAGAAGTTCTGTAGACAGATGAGGTGTGAGAGGTAAAGGTAAAGGAGAATACAGCCGGGCCTGCGAGCGCCGAGTGAGCTGAGAGCAGGTGTGTGCTGTTGCCTGCAGTCACTGGTGAGGGCCTCACAGGCCAGTTCCCGGAGCGTACCACACAGCTGGCTCAGGAGAGTGCAGGGCAGTGCAGAGCCACGCAAGAATTTTAAGCAGGGGAGGGGTGCCGGCATTGTGGTGCAGGCGGTTAAGCCACAGCCTGTGATACCAACATCCCATGTGAGTGCCAGCTGCTCCACTTCCGTTTTTTTTTTTTTTTAAGGTTTATTTTTATTTGTTTGAAAAGCAGTTACACAGAGAGGGGGAGAGGGACAGAGATTGTCCATTTGCTGGCACACATCCCAGATGTGGCCACATCCCACAAGGGCCTGGGCTGGGCCAGGTCAAAGCCCAGGGCTTTCTCCAGACCTCCCATGTGAGTGACAGGTGCCCAAGCACTTGGGCCATCCTCCGCTGCTTTCCCAGGTGCATTAGCAGGGAGCTGGATCAGAAGTGGAGCAGCCGGGACTTGAACCAGTTCTCATATGGAGACTAGCAGATGGCAGCTTACCCCACTATACCACAATGCCAGGTCCTTGCTCCACTTCCAATGCAGCTCCCTGCCAATGTGCTTGAGAAAACAGCAGAAGATGGCCCAAATGCCACACATTTGGGAGACCTGGATGGAGTTCCAGGCTCCTGGCTTCGGCCTGGTCTAGCCCTGGCCATTGCAGCCGTTTAGGGGGTAACCAGTGGGTGGAGGACCTCTCACTTTCTCTGTAACTGCCTTTCAAGTACACACACACACACACACACCCATGCACGCACACACAAAGGAGTGGAAGCAAGGACACAGTTAGGAAGGCTGTAGCAGCCATGGAGACAGAGGTGCTAGGATTGACAGGGACTCAGGCGGGAGCCCCTGCAGGCCTCGGGGTGGGAGGGACCCCAGGGCCAGCGGGCAGCCAGCGGGAGGCCCCTGGTTTTTATCATGAATCACAGCGGGTTACTTCGAGCCCACCTGCCCACAGGACCTCCAGTGTCCCCAGGGTTTGCAAGACTTTGCCGTGAAGTGAAGCTGACCGTCAGCAGAAGCAGATTCACAGAAACCCGCTTGAGGGGCTCACACTTTATCCACAAGGCCTCAGTCCAGGGAGGGGAAGCGTCTGCCCAACCCGCACAGCTCCCCGCGCATGCCCAGCTCGGGCCATAGCCGCGGTCTGGCCCCTGCCTCCCCACCTCTTCCGGAGGCAGAGGGTGGTTCTGTGGATTTTTTCTCTGCTCTTAGTTTGGGAGGCCGGAGTCTGCATTCTGGCTGGGGAATGAGAATTTGCACGACTTACTGTCCAGGGGACATGAAGGGGACTGTCTACGCTGCTGAATCCCCACCCTGGACCTGAAGAGTCCCTCACACCTGCCTCCCCCTCCCCCTGGACACCGGGGAGCTGCGAGCAGAGCTGGGGGTGCTGGTAATGGGCAGTGCGGGTGACTGCGTGCAGGGAGGGCTCCTTCCCAGCACTGTCGCTGCCTCCACCGGTGACCCAGGGCAAGTCCGGCCCCTGGGGGTTGCGGGGGGGTGGGGTGAGGCTCCGTTTCCACATCTGAGAAGCGGCAATGGTTAGGATGGGACAGGAGTGAAGACCCTGGGCTCTGCCACCTACTGACTACACAGCCCGCCCTGTGGGCGCCTTGGGCACTTCCGGCACCAAACGGCAGCGGGATGGCCGGGGGGGGCTTGTGCCTGCCCCTGAGCCTCTGCTCGGAGAGCCGAGCCACTGCAGGCTTCTTGCAGAGCTCAGAGACTGTTGGGGAGAGAGCCAAAAGAGGGAAGTGGTTGCGGGGAACCCCTTCCTGCACAGCCGCCCACAAGGCCCCTCCCTGCTCTCGCCGGCATCTGCTCAGGCGCTGACGGGAGCTGGGAAGAGCTGCAGGGAAGCCAAGGATTCTGGGGGTGATAAGGCACAGGGAAGAACATGTTGTCAGCTCAGCACCACTGTGGCTGCGCTCAGCTGAGCGACCTTGGCCAAACAACCTAGCCCCTCAGCACCGTGCTTTTCTTGTGGGCCTGAGAGCACCCGCCTCCTCGCCGCGGCTTTGAGGCTCCTGGTTGATAACATCATCAAGGGTGCCACGCAATGGTGCCGGGTGCCCAGGTGCCTGCCAACCCCTCCCGCCAGGCCACTTCCTGAGTTTCCAGGGCTGGAAGGCTTTTCCACCTGCGGTACAGACGATGACTCACGTGGTGGCGACTGTCGGTGGTGCCCGGAGGTACAGACCCTGCTATCAATCTAAGCTCAGTGGGCGCCACGCCACGTCTGAGACCACTGCCTCCAAGTGCAGCGTCGGCGGGGTGCCCAGCTGCAGCAGGGGCCACCCTGGGCGGGGTCCAGAGGATGCTTCTCGAAGCCGCCTGGCAGCCAGCACCCTTATCTCCCCCGCACAGCTTCCTTAGCCACCTCCTCCTGCCAACCGCCTCTGTCCACTTTTAAAAAGAAGTCTTTAAATGCTTTCCTTGGCCAGAGCTGCGGCTCACTAGGCTAATCCTCCACCTGCGGTGCCGGCACCCAGGGTTCTAGTCCCGGTAGGGGCACCGGATTCTGTCCCGGTTGCTCCTCTTCCTGTCCAGCTCTCTGCTGTGGTCCGGGAAGGCAGTGGAGGATGGCCCACGTCCTTGGGCCCTGCATCCACATGGGAGACCAGGAGCAGCACCTGGTTCCTGCCATCGGATCAGCGAGGTGCACCGGCCGCAGCATACTGGCCGCAGCGGCCATTGGGGGGTGAACCAACGGCAAAGGAAGACCTTTCTCTCTGTCTCTCTCTCACTGTCCACTCTGCCTGTCAAAAAAAAAAAAAAAAAAAAAAAAAAAAAAGCTTTCCTGGCTCTCAGGGCTCTGGGGATGGCCGGCCAGGCTTCTGTCTGAAGGTGCACAAGACAAAGCCAGAGGGCCCACGATGGATGGATTGGTTGGATGGCCCTGAGCGCTCTCCAGCCTGAAAGCAGGTAGTTTCATGGGAGAAACTGCACAGCTTTCTTGCCCTCTCTGTTGCTCATGCCTGTCTCTTGTAAGCTCTCTGTTTTCTACCCCAGTCTCTGTTGCAGGCCAAGTTCTCACCTTCTACTACTTTTTTTTAAAATATGTTTATTTATTTGAAAGGCAGAACTACAGAGAGACAGAGAGAGAGTGAGAGGTCTTCCATCCACTGGTTCACTTCCCAGATGACCACAATGGCCAAAGCTGCGCCGATCTGAAGCCAGGAGCCAGGAGCTTCTTCCGGGTCTCCCACATGGGGCAGGGGTCCAAGGGCTTGGGCCATCTTCTACTGCTTTCCCAGGCATAGCAGAGAACTGGATTGGAAGTGGAGCAGCCAGGACTTGAACTGGCGGCCATATGGGATGTTGGTACTGCAAGATTTATTCACCCATATAGAAGTCAGAGTCACAGGGAGAGAAGGAGGGAGAGAGACAGAGATCTACTATGCTCTGATTCACTTCCCAAATGGCCACAACGGAGGGGGGCTGGGCTTGGCTGAAGACAGGAGCCAGGGGCTTCCTCCAGGTGTCTCACATGGGTGCAGGGACCCAAGTACTTGGGCCATCCTCCTCTGCTTTCCCAGGCACATCAGCAGGGAGCTGGATTGGAAGCGCTGACGTCAAAGGCCGAGGTTTTACTGCCATGCCACAGCACCCACCCCCCTCTACCACTTCTTACCTGTCCCACCTGGGGCCACTTCTAACCTTGGGTCAAACCAAGTCTTCCATGAAGCAATGGGGTGATGAAACAGCAGTCACTCGCCCGGCATTTACTCGGCAATGATTTGCCCAAAGCCACGTTCTGGTAAGCGGTGGCTGAAACAGTGAAGGTTGCGCCCAGCTCCGCCGTGCACCAGGCACGGCTCCTCCACTCTCCAAGTCCCCAGTCCCTGGTCAGGGTCCACTGAGGTCGACAACCAGCTTGCTGTTTGGTCACCGATTCACACTAGAAAGTTAGGGGACTGGAAGCTGGGGAGCCCAAAGGGCTAGGGTTTCTGGGGTGCTTCCAAGTGGGCAGAGAAATGTTGACAGTGGGAAGTGCTTCTGGGAGTCCCACAGTCACGTTCTAGGTCGAGGTCAGCACGGGTCCTCCATTCCTCCACTGCTCGCGCCTTGTGTTCTGTACTCTGGCCAGAGTAGAGGCTCCGGCCCAAGCCCCGCCCACTCCCTGCTGCAAGGTGGGTAGTGCACAGGCCTCCCCCACTCCGATCTCTTCCCACCTGCCCCTGCCGGCCCTGCACTCCACCCTGCGCGCACCAATGGCTCTGGTGAGCCACTCATTCAAGGGATCCCTGCAGGGCAGGGGCTGCAAATCCGGCCGGTCCCCTAGCCCCGGCCTGGCCTGCCGTGAGCAGTCTACGGTGGTTGGCGCGTTTGGGGGCACAGGCTGTCCCGGAAGCCGCCAGGCTCAGAAGTTCTGGCGGCAGAGGAGGGAGGGGAGAGGCCGAGTCCCCGGTCTGAGGGAGCGGCGCTGCCCCAGGGCCGAGGGTGGAGCTTTCCCGGCCGGCCGGGAGAGGGCTGGGCCCGGCCTACATGTGAGGGCAGGACAGAGCGACGGCGGCGTTCCCTGAGGACTGGCGGACTCAGCCGGACCGGCTCCCAGGACCGCCCCTGGGCTCCCAACCGCCGATCTCCGGGTGCCTCAGATTGTCCCGGATTTCAGGTCCTCGGGACTTCGGAAGCCTGAGCTCAGATTTGTCCCCAGACTCCAGAGTTCCAGAACGGGACGTCTGGCGGGACTCTGGATCCCCAGGTCCCGTCTCGACTGGAATTCCGATCTCGAGATCCCGGGATCGGCCGCCCCAGGTGCCTGCCCCGCCAGAGATTCCCTCGCTCTCGGCGCCCTAGCGCCCTCGCATGGCGGGGCCGTGCCCCCGGTCCGGACCCCTGGAGCGCGCGGGCAGTTGCTGGCAGGACCCACTGGCCGAGGCGCTGAGTCGGGGCCGGCCGGCCACTGTGCCCCCGGGCCGGGGCTGCACGCGGAGCCGGCCGCTGAGAGTGGTCTACGTGCTGACTCGGGAGCCGCGGCCCGCGGTGGAGCCCGGGGCCGGAGCCGAGGCGGAGCCGCTGCCGCTGCGCTGTCTGCGCGAGGCCTGCGCGCAGCTCCCGGGACCGCGGCCGCCGCCGCAGCTGCGCACCCTGCCTTTCGGGACGCTGGCGCTGGGCGACACCGCCGCGCTCGACTCCTTCTACAACGCGGGTGAGCGCGCGCGCCGGGGGCGGGTCGGGGCCGGGCGGATGGGCGTGGCTCCGCGATTCCGGGGCGGGGCCATGGCGGGGGCTTAGGGTTAGCTAAGGCTGGAGGACTAAAGGCGGGGCTGTGACAACGGGGGAACTTAGGGGGTCTTAGGTGGCCGGAGTTCGGGATGGGACCAAGGGTTCCAGGCCGGGCTCCTAGATGGGGCGGGGCGAGGGGCGGGGCTGTGGACTCTCAGGGGGCGGGGCTCTGGAGTCCTAATCCTGGGAGGGAATCTTGGACTAGAGCAAGGGGCCTAACCCGAGGGACTGGCGTCTGGGGATCCTAACGCAGCCCCCGCAGCTCTGAGAGTGAGCGGAGGCGAGGCGAGGCGGAGCCAGAAGGCGGCTGTTCCCTGGCGGGCCACCCCTCCCTCCTGCCAACCCCGGGGTCCTGGCCGGTACTTGTTCGTCCGCGGACAGCGCTTCCTGGATGTCTACGAAATCGCAGGCTAAAACGAAGGCCGACCCACCCCCGAGGACACACAGACACGGACGACAAATGGCATTCGCGTTGACTCAGGCCCTTGCAGTCGCTGTCCCACTCAGAGTGTGGGCTGTGAGCACACACACACACACACACACACGCTCGCGGTGTCCTCTACACGCACTGATGAGGCCGGCCCCTTTCCAGAGTCTGGGGTGAGGACCCAGGGCAGGGAACTTGTGGCTTCGTACAGCTGCGGCCTCGCAGATGACCGGGGAACCTTCCCCACGCCCGGTGCCCAGAGGCTCTGAGCAGTGTGAGGAGGGGTCCCGGCCTGGTGAACCCAGCCCCTCTCCCGCAACACCACAGCTGTCGCTTCTGCGAAAGAGGCTGAGGGGCCCTGGAAGGGAGAAACCGAGGCCAGGAGCAAACGGGGGTGCTGCTGGGACCCCACAGCCAGGCAGGCCCAGCCATGCGGGGCGGCAGGGCTCAGAGCCTCCCGCTGTGCCGGCAGATGTGGCGGTGCTGGAGGTGAGCAGCTCCCTGGCGCAGCCCTCCCTGTTCTACCACCTCGGCGTGCGGGAGAGCTTCAGCATGACCAACAACGTGCTGCTCTGCTCCCAGGCCGACCTCCCGGACCTGCAGGCCCTGCGCGTAGGTGGCCGGCGGCTGTGCAGCTGTGCGGGTCGGGGCGGGGCGGCGGGGCCGAACACCAGCCTAACCGTGTTCTTCTTGCAGGAAGATGTTTTCCAGAAGAATTCGGTGAGCAGAACCCACCCCTCACTCCACGTGCCCTCTGCCCCCCCCCCCAGACCTCTGACCTCCAGGAATCTTCCTGGCCACCTCCATTGCCTCTGCCTCCCTAATGCACCCCCCCATCCGTGAGCCCCTGTTGCCGCCTTTCATGAAGTGCGCCTCTTTCCTGCTATTCCAAGCCCCGCCCCCAGTGTTGACCTCTGACCCTATCGCTGCTCTCTCTCCACTAGTGCTGACCTCTGACCCCCACTGATTCCTGCCTCCCTCCCACCAGGATTGCGTTGGCAGCTACACGCTGATCCCCTATGTGGTGACGGCCACTGGTCGGGTGCTGTGTGGCGATGCAGGCCTCCTGAGGGGCCTGGCCGACGGGCTGGTTCAGGCGGGTATGGGCACTGAGGCCCTGCTCACTCCCCTGGTGGGCCGGCTCGCCCGCCTGCTGGAGGCCACCCCCACAGACTCTTGGTAACAAGGGCCAGCGGGAGGGGGCACCTGGAGAGGCTGGCGAGGGCACAGTGGGCTGAGGGCCGGGCCCCTCCATCCTCTCTCTCCCTCTCCTGCCCTGGACTTCAGTGGCTACTTCCGGGAGACCATTCGGCAGGACATCCGCCAGGCACGGGAGCGCTTCAGCGGGCAGCGGCTGCGGCAGGAGCTGGCCCGCCTGCAGCAGAGACTGGACAGCGTGGAGCTGCTGAGCCCGGACATCGTCATGAACCTGCTGCTGTCCTACCGAGACGTGCAGGTGCTCCGTGTTCGGAAACGCAGCCAGGCTTCTGCCTGCGCCAATGGAACCTCCCCGTGCCTCAGTGTCCTTGTTTGTGAGAGGGCTTGGTCAGGCCACTGCCTCCTGGGGAGATTGGGAACAACCGGCGTGGGGCGCACAGCGTGGTGTCTGCTATGCCTGCTGGCCCCGGGAGGCGCACAGAGGCTGGTGGGTGGGCAGGTGGCCTGGCAGGGTGGGACGGGACCTCGGCTCACGCTTTCCCATCATGCCGGCGCTGGCTGCTCTCTTGCCCAGGACTACTCGGCCATCATTGAGCTGGTGGAGACGCTGCAGGCTCTGCCCACCTGTGACGTGGCTGAGCAGCACAATGTGTGCTTCCACTACACCTTCGCCCTCAACCGGTGAGTGGCAGAGCAAGGCTAGGCAGAGCTAGGGCCCACTCCTAGCCTACGGGACCCCTGCGGTGCAGAGACCTGCTCGCAGTTGTTCTGAGCTCCTGCTGCCTGCTGGGGCCAGGGGAGGTGGCACTGCACTCGGTGTGGCGGCAGCCGCCCAAGGCCACTGCTCCCCAGAGCCACTGCCACTATCACTGTGCTCTGGAACCACTACCCGGGGAGAGGTCAGTGCTGACCAGGGTCACTGTTGTTTTGAGTCCCAGAAGAGCCCCTGGTGTTCAGGTCTCGGGGTCCCTGGGGGGGGGTGTCAGAGCTCTCAGGCAGGCAGCTCTGCAGCCCCTCCCCCTCGCCTAGGAGGAACAGGCCCGGGGACCGGGAGAAGGCGCTGGCTGTGCTGCTGCCCCTAGTGCAGTGCGAGGGCTCCGTGGCGCCCGACCTGTACTGCATGTGCGGCCGCGTCTACAAGGACATGTTCTTCAGCTCCGGCTTCCGGGACGCTGGGTGCCTGGAGCAGGCCTATCACTGGTAAGTGGGCCACGTGAGTGGAGGACGGCGAGCTGAGCTGGAGGGACGGGGGACAGGCCATGTGCGGCAGTGCAGCCCTGTGTCCGCCACCTGCGTGCCAGGTACCGCAAGGCTTTCGACGTGGAGCCCAGCCTGCACTCGGGCATCAACGCAGCTGTGCTGCTCATGGCTGCCGGCCAGCACTTTGAGGACTCGGAGGAGCTCCAGCTTATAGGTGAGCCCAGATCCCAGCTCCCGGCCCCCACCGACAGGGATGCAGCGGGGCCTGGGAAGGACACTGGCCAGGTGCTTGGACTGAGTTTATCCCTGGGGGCCTTTCTGCCCATATCCACTCCTGGGTCCTTCCCCACCTGTCCTGGGCCCTCAGGAGCCCTTGAGCCCATGGCTGCCCCCAGGCAGTCCATGTGAATTCCACCTGCTCGCTGAATTCCACCTCTGTTTACCCAGTCCCTCACCGGTGCCCCAGTTCCTGCTCCCTCCTGAGGTCCTTCCACACTTAACTTTTTACCCACATCCAGCTTCAAGCCCCCATGCGTGGTGTGGCACACCCTGGGCCTCACTCCTTTCGCCTACAGCCACTCACTGGACCCCATGTCGCCCCCCCACCCCAGGCATGAAACTGGGCTGCCTTCTGGCCCGCAAGGGCTGCGTGGAGAAGATGCAGTATTACTGGGATGTAGGTTTCTACCTGGGAGCCCAGATCCTCGCCAATGACTCCACGCAGGTGGTGCTGGCCGCAGAGCAGCTGTACAAGCTCAATGCCCCCATATGGTAGGTGGCCTCTTCTGCAGTCCCGGCCTGGCCTGGGCTGTCGGCTGCTGCACCCATGTCCTTGGTATCCCAGCCTGAACCCGGAGTCCATGACCTGGCGGCTCCACACATTGTGCAACCCATGGCACCCAATGCCCACGTTCTGGCTACGTCCACTACAGTGCTGGCTGGTGCCCGGCCGAGCTGAGCCAAGGCTGTCCTGCAGGTACCTGGTGTCGGTGATGGAGACCTTCCTGCTGTATCAGCACTTCAGACCCACGCCCGAGCCCCCTGGCGGCCCCCCGCGCCGCGCCCACTTCTGGCTGCATTTCTTGCTGCAGTCCTGCCAGCCTCTCAAGACGGCCGCTCCTCCCGGAAACCAGTGCTCTGTGAGGTCCCTGGGGGCGGGGTCCCGGGAGAGAGGCTGAGCCCCGCCTGCCTGACCTCTCTTCCACACCGCCCGTAGGTGCTCGTGGTGGAGATGAGCAAGGTGCTGCTGCCCGCGAGGCTGGAGGTCCAGGGCAAGGCCCTGGTGAAGGCGGTGGCCCTGAGCCTGCTGGAGCCGGAGACCCAGGTGACGTCACCGCTGAGCCCCTGACTCACCTCTACACACCTCTTCCCTCTCCTCCAGCCCTTCGCCCACCGCCAGACCCCTCTCGGGTCCCCGGTGCCCTCTGTCAAACTCCCCCTCTCCCCAAGGGCGATCCTTCCGGCTGGACCTTCCCAGTCGCCTCCATCTGTGGGGTCAGGTGAGCGGGGGCACCTGGGAGCGGCGGGGGAGGCGCTGCCCACTGGGCCGGCTCTCACGGGTTTCCCACCCCCTGCCAGCGCCTCCAAGCGGGACGAGCGCTGCTGCTTCCTCTACGCACTGCCGCCGGCTCAGGACATGCAGCTGTGCTTCCCCAGCGTGGGGCACTGCCAGTGGTGCGCAGCCTCCCGGAGGGGTCGGAATGCGGGGGCGGTGAGGGAGGAAAGGGAGCGATGAGCCCCCCCCCCCGCTGCTTCCGGCCAAGAAGGGGGCGGCTCCCCTCTGACCTCCCTCGCCCTCAGGTTCTGCGGCCTGATTCAGGCCTTGGTGACCAATGCGAACGCCTCGACGCCCGCAGAGGAGGCGGAGGGCGTGGGGGAGGTGCTGGAGGTGAGGACGTGCGTGGGCCTGGGGGCTCCAGGAGGGCGAAGGGCTGCGGACCCTGCTGAACCCCGTTGTCACCCTGCGCCCCCAGTTTGATTATGAGTACACGGAGAGTGGCGAGCGGCTCGTGCTGGGCAAGGGCACGTACGGGGTGGTGTACGCGGGCCGCGAGCGGCATACGCGGGTACGCATCGCCATCAAGGAGATCCCGGAGCGGGACCGCAGGTGCGGAGCGCGCGGCGGGCCTGGAGGGCGGGGCGGAGGGCTCGCAGCCCCGGGTGGGCGGGGCTCGGGCGGGGCTCGGGCGGAGCCTGATGGTGAACGCCGAGAGGGAGGGCTCCTAGGACCCGCGAGTCCCCGCGCTGTGAGCCGGGGTCTGTGGGCCACACGGCAGGGCGGGGCTGTGAGGAGGGGCGCGTGGGCGGGGCGGGCCCTGGGGGCGGGGCTCGGCCGGGGCGGGGGCGAGGTGAGCCTCGCGGCCCGAAGGCGCCCGTGCCTGCCTCCTCTACCTCCCGCAGGTTCTCTCAGCCCCTGCACGAAGAGATCGCGCTTCACAAACGCCTGCGCCACAAGAACATCGTGCGCTACTTGGGCTCCGCCAGCCAGGGCGGCTATCTCAAGATCTTCATGGAGGAAGTGCCTGGAGGTACCTGTCTGCGTGGGATGGGGATGAAACCCGAGGCGTGGGGCGCGGGGGTGGAGCCGGGCAAGGGGTGGACAGCCCTGGGGGCAGATAAAGCCTCGCGTGGGTGCGTGGTGTAGCCCATAATTAGCTGAGGGAGTGGCGCTGGGAGATGGAGTCTGGGCGGTGGCATGGGTGTGTCTGGGCCCTGAGCAGAGATGTGTGGGCGGGGGCAGTGGTTCCAAGATGGTGAACTGCATCTGCCCAGGCAGCCTGTCCTCCTTGCTGCGGTCAGTGTGGGGGCCCCTGAAGGACAACGAGAGCACCATCAGCTTCTACACCCGCCAGATCCTGCAGGGTCTCAGCTACCTGCATGACAACCACATTGTGCACCGCGACATCAAGGTAGGGAAGGTCCGGTGGCTGGCCGGCCTCCGCTTGCCGCAGTCCCACACGGAGGCTGGCGTTTTCCATCATGTGGGCAGACCTTTTGCAAAAGGGTGGGGAATTCATCAGAGAGGCTCAGGAGAGAAGAGAAGTTCGGATCTGAAAGCGGCCCCGATGCCAGCTCCCCAAGGGCCGTAGAAGTGGGATGATGGCAGGAGGAGGTGGATGGAGGCTGGGATTCCCAGGCAATGGGATCCCAAGAAGAGGGTCCGGTTCTGGGGTCAGGGACACAGCCCAGTGTCCACTTGAGCACTGTGTGATCTCCAACTAGGGAGACAATGTGCTGATCAACACCTTCAGTGGCCTGCTCAAGATTTCTGACTTTGGCACCTCCAAGCGGCTGGCGGGCATCACACCCTGTGCTGAGACCTTCACAGGTAACAGGTGGCGGGGGTGAGTGGCATGCTGCCTGGAGCAGAAGAACTGGAGCCACCAGGGACTGAGGTTTCCCATGGAGTTACAGTGTTAGGGAGGGTGTGGGGGAGTGTGGAACCCAGGGCAGGTGATTAGCCTGGGGGTGAAGTGATGGGATCTCAAAGTAGAGCTTGGACATGAAATTGAGCTTAGCAATGAGATGGAGCCCAGGCATGCTGACGCAGGCCAAGCTGAGTGGTGGAGGACAGAGGGGTGACAGAGTTTGGGGGTGGGGATGATGCAATCGCGCTTGTATGGTGAAAGGCTCCTGTGGGTGCTAGAGTCCATGAAGGCGATGGAGCTTAGGAGGGGTGATGGAGCCTAGTAGGGCGGGTGATGAAATTCAGGACAGAGCGTTGATGATCAGGGTGGTGCTGGGGTCTGTCTTGGGTGGTAGGTTCAGTACGGGTGCAGGCAGCCAGGTGATGGAGTCCCCCTCACCCATGATAAAGTCTAGGTGGGCATCATTGCTCCTGCTCCCGTCCTAGGGACTCTGCAGTACATGGCCCCAGAAATCATTGACCAGGGCCCACGCGGGTATGGGAAGGCAGCTGACATCTGGTCGCTGGGCTGCACAGTGATCGAGATGGCCACAGGCCGCCCACCTTTCCACGAGCTAGGGAGCCCACAGGCTGCCATGTTTCAGGTGAGACCCCTCTCTCAGGGCCTGGCCAGAGGGGGTGGGCAGGGCCAGCCTGGGCCCTGAACACCTCCAACCTTGACCTTTGTTTGCCCTCTGCCCCCTCCGCCAGGTGGGCATGTACAAGGTGCACCCACCAATGCCTGCTTCTCTGTCAGCCGAGGCTCAAGCCTTCCTCCTTCGAACTTTTGAGCCGGACCCCCGGCTCAGAGCCAGTGCCCAGGCACTGCTGGGGGACCCCTTCCTGCAGCCTGGGAAGAGGAGTCGCAGCCCTAGCTCCCCCCAGCCTTCTCTCCCGCCCTCAGGTGCTATGCGGTGGAGGGAGCAGGGGGAGGCGGGAGGTGAGCCGACCGAGGCGGCACCCAGATGACAGCCTTGTCACTGCCTCCCTCAGGAGTCCCTGCGGCCAGCCCCACTCCTTCAGCCGACTCCGCCACCCAGTCCCAGACATTCCCAAGTCCTCAGGCACCCCCTCAGGGCTCTGCCAGCCCCCCGAAGCGCTGCCTCAGTTATGGCGGCACCAGCCAGCTCCGGTGAGAGCCGAGGGTCCTGGGGTGGCTTCCCTTGGATTTTTTTTTTTAAGCCCTTGTACTCCTTCCAGAAAAAGCCCTTCTTGGGGGCCTGGGCACCGTGATCACTTGCAGGGGTTGCATTTGGTGCTTATCTATGCCCTTTGCCCTCTCCCAGATGCTTTTACTCCCATTGTGTCCCCTCAGCATCAGGCTTGTCTCTTCTTATCCCTCTGAGGAGGGCATGCAAGTAACAGAGCCAGGATTCCAAGCCTGGGGCAGAGGTGGCTGGACGGTGCTGCTGTGCGCCCTCCATCCACCGCCCCCCGTTGCGCCCAGGGTGCCCGAGGAGCCAGGGGTGGAGGAGCCCACGCCCTCGGAGGAGAGCTCGGGGCTCAGCCTGCTGCACCAGGAGAGCAAGCGCCGGGCCATGCTGGCGGCGGTGCTGGAGCAGGAGCTGCCCGAGCTGGCGGAGAGTCTGCGCGGGGAGAAGGAGCAGGTGGGCGGCGCGCCCCACCGCCCCCTGGTGGTTGAGCATGGACAGGCCTGGCACTGATGGGCTGCCCCAACCCCAGCGTCTCTCTGGCTCAGGTGGGAACACCCGCTGAAGACCTCTGCCTTCCTTCTCAGGGTTCCCGTCTGGACCGGATCCATGTGGAACAGCTGCTGCGCTGCCTCGGAGCCCACATCCACACTCCCAACCGCCGGCAGCTGGCCCAGGAGCTGCGGGCGCTGCAAGGGCAGCTGCGGGCCCGGGGCCTGGGGCCTACACTTCTGCACGGCCCGCTCTTCGCCTTCCCGGATGCGGTGAGGGCGCTTTCTCGCGGCTCCCACGCCTGGGGGTGTGCGGGGACTGGATGCTCCTGGATGCCGCGTCTCCGTGAAGATGGCTGGGGCCGTCTGCCCAGTCCTAGCTTCCCAGCCCCTCCCTTGGCCCCAAACCCGCTGGCCTCCGGCAGAAGACTTCCCAGCCCGTTGCACCTCAAGCCTCGCTTCTTGTCCCCAGGTGAAGGAGATCCTCCGCAGGCGCCAGATCCGCCCGCACTGGATGTTCGTGCTGGACTCGCTGCTCAGCCGCGCCGTCCGGGCAGCCCTGGCAGTGCTGGTCCCAGGTGCGCGCGGGAGCGGGGCCAGCTGGCCTCCAGCGAGGGTGTGGCCGGGCGAAGGGGGGCAAGGCGAACACGGAACTGGGCCTAGAGGCGTGGTTGGCGGGAGCTCGTGGGGTCGTGGCCAAGTGGGCAGCTCCGGGGCTGGCCCCTGCCCAGGGCTGGGCTCCCTCCGGCCTGACTGTCCCGTTGGGGTTTGGGGACCCTACACGGGCGTCTGCACCCGGCCTGAGCTCGCCGAACTGGGGTTGCAGAGGTGGAGAAGGAGACAGGCTCGCCGAGGTCAGCGGAGTCGGGGAAAGAGGAGTCCCTGCAGCAGCAGGAGACCAGGATCCGGCTGAGCCCGCTCCCGGGGGAGCCCGCGCAGGGGCCCCCGCCCCTGATAGTGCAGCTGGGTCTCCTGCGAGCCGAGACGGACAGGTAAAGCCCCCGAGGGTCGCTCGTGAGGGTCCCTCGTAGCCTCTGCTTGGGCTTCGACCCACGCCTCCCTCGCCACGCCCTTCTCCTGCTCTCCCCCCAGGCTTCGAAATGTCCTTGTGGAGAAGGAGCGCGAGTGCCAGAACCTGGTGCAGCGGGCTCTGCAGCGGGTGAATGAGGAGGCCGGGACCTGGGCCCTGGCCTCCGGGCCGCCAGGTGAGCGGGACCGATCAGGGAACACCCGCGGTGGGTGCCAGGCAACTTCATCGTGGGAGGTCCCCGGGCCAGGGGCTCATCACCTGACTTCCTGACAGGTGCTCTTGCTACAGACGAGAGCCTGGTCCAGTGGCTCCAGGAACTGTGCGTGGATTCAGGGACCATCCAAACGGTGAGGAAGAGAACACTGACTCTCCCTGACCACCCTCACCCCCAGAGGACTCCCTTATCCTCTCCTTCCATCGTTCAGCTAATGACGTTTTCCTCTGATGCAGAACATTTCGATGCTGGAAGAGTACTTAGTATGCTCTCCCACTGTACAGATGACAAAACTGAGGCCCAGAAAGGAATGTGAAATCCCAAATGCCTGTAACAGCTAGGGCTGACCAGACCAAAGCCAGGAGCCGGGAACCCAAGCATGAGATGTGCTGCTTCCCAGGCGCACTATTAGGAAGCTGGATTGGTAGGTTGGGGTAGCCAGGACTCCAGTCGGGCACTCCGATAGGGATGCTGGCAGCCCAAGCTATGGCTTAGCCTACTGATAGAATGCAGCCAGTGCCTGGGTCTATGGGCACATCTTAAATTATTGGGTACAGTGTGCTACTTCATAAAATGCATACAATTTGTAAAGGCCAGGATAATTGGCACATAGATCACCTCAGATACATGTGACAGAGAAAGGGAGAGACAGAGAGATATTAAAGAGAGAGCTTTTTTTTTTTTTTTTTTTTTAAGATTTATTTACTTATTTGAAATTTAGATTTACAGAGCCAGAGAGAGATTCCATCCACGGGTTCACTCCCCAGATGGCTGTTAATGGCTGGGGCTGGGCTGGGCCAAAGCCAGGAGCCAGGAGCTTCTTCTGGGTCTCCCACATGGGTGCAGGGACCGAAGCAGGTGGGCCATCTTAAACTGCTTTCCTAGGTGCATTAGCAGGGAGCTGGATCAGAAGTAGAGCAGCCAGGTCTCAAACCAGTGCCCATATAGGATGCTGGCATTCCACATCTAGTTTTTGTTGTTGTTGTTTAGATTTATTTATTTACTTGAAAGGCAGAGTTACGGAGAAGCAGAGGCAGAAAGAGAGACAGAGAGAGGTCTTCCATCCACTGGGTCATGCCCCAGATGGCCAAAGCTGAGCCAATCCAAAGCCAGGAGCCAGGAACTTCTTCCAGATCTCCCATATGGGTGCAGAGGCCCAAGGACTTGGGTCATCTTCTACTGCTTTCCCAGGCCACAGCAGAGAGCTGGATCGGAAGTGGAGCAGCCAGGACTTGAACTGGTGCCCATATGGGATGCCGGCACTGCAGGCGGCAGCTCTGCCTGCTATGCCGACTTCCCCTGACGCCTGCACTAACTTCAGTCCCCACCAGCAATGCGCCAGAGCTCCTCTTTCTCCGCACCCTCGGCAGCGCTTGTATTTTCTGTCCTGCTGAACCTTCCTGTAACTTTCTCTCTTCTTCTTTCCGTGGGGCTTCGTCCACAAGCAGCTGCTGAGCCACAGTTTCACCCTGCACACCCTGCTTACCTGCGCCACTCGAGACGACCTCGTCTACACCCACATCAGGTACATCCCCACCGCTGGCCTGCCTAGCTTCCTCCCTGGAAACCGCAGGGCCCCGGGAGGACGGTGGGTTCCAGAGAGAGCCCAGCCTTCTGGCCCAGCCACACCGAGTCTCTGCCTCCAGGGGAGGGATGGTGTGCCGGATCTGGAGAGCCATCTTGGCACAGCGAGCAGGATCCACGCCAGTTACCCCTGGGCCCCGGGAGGCTGACTGAGGGCCTCTGGGGCGGCACTGACCACGGATGCGTGAATGCAGAAGAGCCAGGCAGCTTCTCACACTTCCGCCCCAAGACCTGGGCAACTGAGGAAGGCCGGCGGCTGGGGCCAGGTCAGGCCCAGGCCTCGCCCCAGTGGGGGGAACCGCGCACACTGTGCACCACCAAAGACTATTAAACAGGACACGTTGGTACCCTCGTCTTGGCAACGCGGGAGGGGTGTGTGTGTGTCGGTGGGGGCTCCCCAGCCTCCTGAGGTCTCTGTGTCTAAGTCTGAGGCTCTTTAAGCTGGCCCCTCCCCTTCCCCCTGCCACGCCCCTCTCCCAGCAGACAGTGCCTCTCGTGGCCCTCGGGTCACACTTTATTGACTGTAGCAAGGGCAGGGGCTGTGCCAGGCACGGCTACGTCCTAGGGACCAGGTTGGTTCTGAGGGGGAGCAGGCCGTCCACCCATTCGCAGGGCCGCTCCAGCAGCGTCTGCCACAGCTGCTTCTCCTCGGGGGTCGAGTCCATCCAGGGCACCTGGAGCCCGTAGCTGCTGCCTGTGTGCGGGTGGGCAGGGGTGGAGGAAGTGGCCACGCTGGAGCCCTCGGGCTCCCAGGTGTGACCCCCAGTTCTCAGAGGACGCCAGCGCTCAGGAGAGGCAGGGGAGTACCCAAGGTGCTGTTGGGCTTACCGGTACCCAGGCTGAGGCGTGTGCCCCCCAGCTGGCGGCTGGCCAGGGCCCCGTGGTCCCAGAGGGAGAGCTCAGCGCAGGCCTGGCGCAGGTCGGCAGGCCCGAAGCCGTCGTAGACCATGGTGTGGTTGAAGGAGGGGCTGAGGCTGCGGCGCACCACCCGTGTCCGCTGGCGGCTGGCCCGGCTGTCATCCGGCAGCACGAAGCTGCGGGGCAGACGGCCACCCTTACCTTTCTCAGAGCCAAACTGTCACCAGGTCCTACCGTTCTCCCTCCCACGCGTCCCTGGCCCAGGGGTCCTGCTTGAGACCTGGCTTCAAACCCCCAGTGCCCTGGCACCTTTGCCTCAGCTTCCTCCCTGGTGTCCCACCTGTGAATGTCCCCCTCCCATACGCGGGGCCCCAGGGTGCTGTCTGTGCAATGCAGTTCTGCCACTCCCTAGCTCAGTGACCTGCGCTGGCTCCCTGTCCCCTCTGCCCCCTCCCCCAAGTAGGTTCTGAAGTTTCCAAAGCCTCAGGACCTTTTCTGCAAACTCAACTCTTGCTCAGATGTCTCTGGCCTAAGCAGGGTTGGAATCCAGACCCTGATGGGCCTACCTCCATTTCACTCTGAGGGCGGGCCCTAGGGGTCCCGCAGAGCTTGCTGGGAACTACAAGTCCTAGGCAGCGCAGCCCAGCTTCCCCGTGTCCGTGGAGGGGGCCCGGCAACTCCTCAGCCTCAGCCTCGGCTCTCCACGCCCCAGAGGCGCCAGTCACGCGCAACGCAGGGATTCTACTCCCGGCCTCTGTGCAAGCCGCGCCCTCGCCCTTGCTCCCAGCTCACAGCCCAGGCCAGGCCGCTGAGGGGTGGTTGGCAGGGGTTCCTCAGCGGCTGGGAGCGCCCCTGCGGGCCGGAGGAGGGGAAGCCGCGGCGCTGCGCTCACCACTGCACGTAAGTGTCCGGGGATCCTGCGCGCAGCGGCACGAGGCCCTGCGCCCCCTTCACCCAGAAGTGCAGCTCCCCGCTCGGAGGCAGCCCCGCACCTGCGGACAGGCTCGGCTCAGGTCCAGCGCCTCGCGGGACGGGAGCCTCCCGCCTCCCGGACCCGTCCAGCTGGGCCTCTCGTGGGGTGGTCACTCACCCTCGGAGCCGGCGGGGACGTACTTGAGGGACAAGGAGAGCAGCCCGCGGCTGGGAAGCTCGTCGGGAGAGGGTGGGGCCTGCGAGAGGTGGGCTGGTCAAGGGGTGGGGCGGGAGCCGCGAGGGGTGGTACCTCCAGACACAAAGGGGGTGTGGTCAGCGGGGAGGGCGGGGTCTGCAGGGGCAGGGGCCTCCGCCGAAAGGTCGGAGGGACGCTAGCACCTGCAGCCTGGGGCAGTGCTGGCCTGGCCCTTCCGCCTGGGGCCACGGGGAGGCTCGGCGGAAGGCGGCGGGAGATTAGCTTGTCCCCAACCCCCGCGGGCCTGGCTGCCTCACCCGGGGCTGCAGGGGGAGCCAGGTGGGCTCAGAGTCCCAGTTCCACGTGTCCAGGGGCACTTCCACTTCTCCCAGAAAGATGTTGCGGCCCAGGCTTTCGCGGTGCCACACAGACAGGCTCAGCACGCGGCCGCGGAGCTCGGCCTGCGAGACGGAGTACTGGAACAGGAAAGGCACTTTAGGGGGCCCGCGAAGCGCATCGCTGGGGGTGGGTGGGGTCTGGACCCCCGCTGCTGCCGCCACCAGACCGACGCACTGGGGAACCGGTTATGGGGTGCGGGGTGGGGTCCTCCGTGCCGCTCCTCCCGCAGAGCGGAGGAAACTGGCTGCCCCTGCCGCCTGCTCTGCAGTAATGGGTGACCGCCCCGTCCAGGCAGCCTCACCCGGAGAGTCTCGTTGAAGATGGGGTTCAGATTCCTTTTCCTCACCGCCGTCTTGCGCTTGCTCTGCTTATCCGGGAGGAGGTAGCTTTTGACGTAGCTGGGGCGGGAGAGGTGAGAACGGGAGGTGAGGCCAGGCTGTCTCCCGCACCCCTGTCCCCGGCCTTCTCTTCTGCCCTGGGCGCTTCCCCAGCCACAGCCCGGAACTTAGCATCCTGCCTGCCAGAGGAATTGGCTCCCTGGGTCCTCACTGGTCCCCGTGGATGAAACAGGCCCAGGGAACAGGATGGGGCGCCGGCTCGGGTGCTTCTAGGGGCGCGAGAGCCGCTGCCTTGTGCCCCGCGCTCCTGCGGGGACGGGCTGTACACTCACGGGTCGGAGCGGCGGCGGCGGGCCGCGGCCAGGCCCTGGCACTGGATCACCTGCACGCGCAGCTCGGCGGCGTCGGGCTCGTAGCGCAGCTCGAACTGCAGGGAGCCGCGCACTTGCACGGCGCCGGCCTCCGTCTCCCCCGCCAGGCTCATCTGGCTGCCGCTCAGCTGCAGGCCGAGGTGCGCGATCAGGGCCGGCGTGTGGGGGCTCACGTCGGGGCCCCGGGGGAGCACGCGGTGGCCCGCAAGGTGAGCGAAGCGGCAAAGAGCGCTGCGAGGGCGTGTGCGTGGGGCTGGAGCGCCAGCGAGGGAGGGCTCAAGCAAGGGCTGCGCAGGGCTGTGGACGCGGGGCGCTGAGGTCCCCACCCAGGTCCTCTCCTCGCGGCCTCACCGTGGAGGAGCTGAGGCTGGACACGGAGGAGCTGCTGCTGAGCATGCGGTCGAAGGAGGGGCCGGACTCCGGGGCTCCTTCGCCGTTCTCCACGATCGCGGGTGCCGCCTCGCTCTGGACAGGCGGCAAGTGACGGGGCGCCCTCCGGTGCCCTCCCTCCCCCATCGCGCTGGGGCCGCCGCGGGCTCTCAGTCCCGGGCAGGCGCACGCCCCGCCCGGAGTCCGCTCCAGGTATTGAGAGCCGCCGCGGGCCGCTCCCGCCTACCTGGGCCGCCGGCTCGGGCTCTCCCGGCGACGCGGGCTCCAGCTCCGGGTCCGCCTCCTGGGCGTGGATCTGCAAGCCCCCTTGGCCCGGGGCTGGGGTGGACACAAGCTGCTGAGTGTACCCCTTTCCACCCACCTAAGCCAAGTCGGAGCGGCTGGTTTAGGGGCCCAGCCGCCTGCAGATTCAAGACCCGGGACTGCCCTGGGCCACAGGGGCCTCCCCTACCCACAATTCAAGGTGGCAGATCCCCAGCGTCTGTGTGCCCCGCCCCCTGCGCACCCACTCACCTGCCTGGGTCTGGGGCCCCTCAAGATCTGACGCTTCTGCCGGGACAGATGGGAAACAGAAATCCGGTGCCTGAAGAAAGCAAGGGGTAGAGGTCGCCAAGAGGGCTGGGGGATCAAGGGTCACACTAGGGTCAGAGGTCAGAGGCCCCAGCCAGCTACCCCCCCTTCAAGGTTTAGAGCAGCCCTCTGGGCAGGGCCGGTAACCAGCTGCCAGACCAGTTGGGCCTGCCGGGCCTGCCCCCCGCCGGCCTGACTCCCAGGTTGGGGCAGGAGAGCTGAGTCAGCTCCCGGGGCTCCCACCCAGGCAGTGCCCATGCCTCCCTATTACCAAGGACCCCGCTGCGGCCCAGAGCAGGGAAGGGGTGTGTCCGAGGTCCCACATTCCAGCTCTGCCCTGGGCTGGGCACACATCTTCCTCACCTCAGTCTCGCTGGGCGTCCTGGCAGGGGCGGTGTCTGTGGGGAGCCTGCCAGTAAGGGTGGGTGGCTCTCAGGGGAAGGGAGCGGGACTGGCAGGTGCCTGCTCCCAGCTCCCAGTGACGCCTCCCTACCTGGGCTCTGGCTCCTCTTCAGTCTCTTTCCCAGCAGCCTCTGCCTTGCCATCGCTGCCCAGAGGCTGGTCCCCTATGCCTGGGAGTGGAGTGGTGAGGCCCGTTCTCAGGTCTGCCTGCCACTCAGGGCCAGGGCCCTTGGGGGCACCGCCCACTCCGCAACCCCCAGAGGGGCAGTGCTCGCCCAGAGCTGCGGCCAGGGTCTTCTCTTTCCCTGTCCTTGTCCAGGCTTGCCTCCCCCCGGGTCTCCCCTCACCCCTGGTCCAGGCTTGCCCTGCCCGGGGGTCTCCCCTCACCCCTGGCCCAGGCTTGCCCTGTCCCCGGGGGTCTCCCCTCTCCCCTGGCCCAGGCTTGCCCTGCCCGGGGGTCTCCCCTCTCCCCTGGCCCAGGCTTGCCCTGCCCGGGGGTCTCCCCTCACCCCTGGTCCAGGCTTGCCCTGCCCGGGGGTCTCCCTTCACCCTGGCGCAGGCTTGCCCTGCCCGGGGGTCTCCCCTCTCCCCTGGCCCAGGCTTGCCCTGCCCGGGGGTCTCCCCTCACCCCTGGCGCAGGCTTGCCCTACCTGGGGGGGTCTCCCCTCACCCCTGGCCCAGGCTTGCCCTGTCCCCGGGGGTCTCCCCTCACCCTTGGTGCTCTTCCTCCTGCGGATAGAGGCTCGGACAAGGTCAGGGCCAAAGTGGGCATGCTGGTGCCGTTGGGAGCGTGCTTCCTGGAACCAGTCCCCCGTCTGGGTCTTCAGCTGCCCGGGGTCTGTCAGCGAGGCACGGAGCTTGCTGGAGGAGCAGAGGGCATGGCTGCTGCTTTCTCACCCAACCAAGATTCCCTGCCAATGACCAAGGACCCTACAGCCACAACTTGATCCCTGCTCTGCAGGAGCTCGGGCTGCCGGGAGACCTGTTCCACGATGGACAAGCGAGCTACTGGGACAGATGTGAGAGCGGCCAGCTCGGCCTGGGGGGAAGCCAGGGGGACTACCCAGAGGAGAGGACACTTGAGTTGCTTCTCAAAGGACAAATTGGAATTCTCCAAAAGATTATTCAGCTCTGACTGTGGGTCACTCTGACGTAATCCTATTAATTCTGAGGTAGGGTCCTTGACCCCATTTACAGATGAAGAGAGTGGTGCTAGGGCATTCAGCTAAGTGCCCCACCTCGCGTGGCTAGCAGGTGTCTCTGTGCCCAAGTTCTGGTCGCGACTCCCATGCTTTTCTGCCACTGCGTCCTGACAGCAAGGACGGACAGCTTGGGCCTGGAAGTGAAGGGACTGGGGAGCCCCAAGTGACTGTGTGTTGGGGGGCGGGGTTCCGCCTGGCAGGGCCCAATCAGGGAGGCCTGTGGGCATGGCTCAGGAGCTGGTCCCTGCCCCAGGCACTGGGGGCGGTGCTCCGCAGGGTGTGGAGAGCTCCAGCTGCAGCAGTCTGGTGTCCTGAGGGAGGGGCCGGGAAGCACAAGGATGGCAGGGAGCTGGGGCCACCCTGGAGGGCTCTGAGCTGGCCCCCAGCAGAAGGGACGAAAGGATGAAACCAAGACGCCCTGAGATACCTGGCAGGGTGTGGGCCCGGAGCCCCCACGCGCCTGAGGCTCCTGCCTCTCTGGCTGCCCTGGCTTGGCCCCCGCCCCTGGCCTCACCTGATCCGCCCTTCGTCCAGCTGGCGCAGGTGGGCATCTCGTCGGAGGACGTCGGCAATGGCCTCCTGCTCCTCTTCGGTCAGGAAGCTGAGGTCCAACAGTCCGTCAGCCTCTGGCTCTGGCCCATGCGCCATGGGGACTGAGGACAGGGCCCAAGAGCCCTCTTGGGACGAGTGGTCCCTCTGGGGCATCAGCTGGAGCCGTGCCCCAGCTGGGCATGCGTAGCTGCCTGGGGGCAGAGCAAGCGTCAGGTCAAGCCCTGGCCCAGTATGACACATCCCGATGCCCACTGTGAGCATCGCCCCGAACAGCTGCCCTGGTGGTGCGTAGGGGACAACCCTGGGAAGGCTGAGGTCAAAGTGTGGTGAAGGGCACACGTGCTCGCTGGTGCAGGGACACACCTGGAGAAGTGTGCAGACTGGCACACACACCCAGGGAGCCACAGGACGGCACACACAGACATACAGACCCATAGAAGTACACACTGCCACGGTCACACACACAGATACCTGTGCATGTCCCATGGCCCCAACGAAGGGCCCTATGGAGACACTGGCCCAGACCCATGCCCCCAAATATGGGCACACACATTAACCCTGACATAGGGAGATGGGGCTCACCCAGGCAGCTTCACCTGTGTAAGAAGTCTGAGGACAAATCCATATCCCTGGCTGCACACACATCACAGACTCTCGTCACACACTGCTCACCTAATGGGGTTGTGACTCTTTGAGGTAGGAACAGGGCATCACCCTCAAAGCCAGGCCTTGTAAAGCTGCAACAGTCAAATGCACCCGCACACACACAGTAATGCACACACAACCACCCATACACACACACACACACACACACACCTGCTGAAATGGACCTGCACACACACAGTAATGCACACACAACCACCCCCCAGACACGTGTATGCACACACACCTGCAGAGATACGCCAGGACACACACAGTAATGCACACACAACCACCCATACACACACACACACACACACCTGCTGAAATGGACCTGCACACACACAGTAATGCACACACAACCACCCCCAGACATGTGTGCACACACACCTGCAGAAATACACCAGGACACACACAGTAATGCACACACAACCACCCATACACACACACACACACACACCTGCTGAAATGGACCTGCACACACACAGTAATGCACACACAACCACCCCCAGACATGTGTACACACACACCTGCAGAAATACACCAGGACACACACAGTAATGCACACACAACCACCCATACACACACACACACACTCCTGCTGAAATGGACCTGCACACACACAGTAATGCACACATAACCACCCACCCAGACACATGTATGCACACACATTTGCAGAAATACACCTGCACACACACAGCATTGCACACACAACCACCCATACACACACACACACACACACACACTCCTGCTGAAATGGACCTGCACACACACAGCAATGCACACACAACCACCCCCCAGACATGTGTGTGCACACACATTTGCAGAAATACACCTGCACACACACAGCATTGCACACACAACCACCCATACACACACACACTCCTGCTGAAATGGACCTGCACACACACAGTAATGCACACACAACCCATATCCAGACACACACGCACACACACCTGCTGAAATGGACCTGCACACACACGGTTATGCATACACACAAGCCTCCCCCAACACACCCCTCACATCTGCTCCCCTCCCATCTAGGAACCTCCCAATCTGGGTTCCCTCCCTGCACCCCTGATCTCCGCCCTGCCCATTTGCCCTTCCTGTGTGAGGCAACCTCCGCCCCAGCTCACACCCCCGACTTCCTCCCCAGAGGTAACTGCTGCACCCACTCCCACCAAGGCCTTCAGCCCTGCTCTCTCGCCTGGAGCCTGGGGCGCCTCTGGCCACAGGGCTCCCCCACTCTCTGACTTCAGACCTGGCTGGGGACCTGGAGGTGGAGGCCCAGGCTGGCAAAGCAGCTGGTGCCCAGGTACCATGGTGATTCCAGAAGGAAAACATCTGCTCAGCCCTGAGGGGCATATGGACGTAGCAAGGGGCCCAAGACTTGGACATGGCCATGACCTGAGCCCACTGGGCGGCCTCTCCTCTTGTCCCGCCCCTCTGTGCAGTGGAGCTGATGGGAAGAGGACATCTCGATGGCAGGTCCTGGCTTGTGCCCTGTGCCTGCTCCACGCAGTCTCCTCCCAGCTGACTCAGTGCCCAAGCCCCAGCGAGCCTCCTCCTCTGGGGCTACCTCTGAGGGCCTGGGTTTCTGCACGTCTATACTGCGTAGGACACAGGGTGAACACTGGGTGCTGGGCAAGAACATTTTCCTGAGCTTCGGTGCCCGAGGTGCTGGGGGGCGCACACCCAGGGTGGGCTCCTCTTTGGGGTGGGTGGATGCCTCCCTTCTCTTGTGCTGGGCAGGGTGGGTGTGGGGTCTAGGAGCTTGTGTCACGTTGCCAAGGGATCAGTCTCCACTGTCTGCGCAGGGTGCCCAGTGACTTCTGGTGACAGTGCCGTGTGGGTGTGTGCTCCGTGTGCATTTCCTCCTGCGCTGTCCCTGTGACTCGGCTGTGTGCTGTCCTGTGTGCTGCGTGTTATGCTGTGTGCTCTGTGCCAAGGGGGCTGACAGGTGTGTGTGTGTGTGACGGTGGGCTTTGCCTGGCTGGGCTGTGGGTTAGCCCCGTGTCCCCAGCAGCCCCCATGTCCCGTGGTCCCTCCTCCTCCCAGAGGCGCAAGCGCGACCCTCCCCCCTGTTGCTGTTCCAACTCCTCGGGAGTGATGATCTGTCCCTCCACTTGGAGGTCCCTTCCCCACTCCCCAAGGGCCCCAGGTGCCAGAGGGTGCCCAGGATTCCAGGTGGCAGTGCCTGGCCCTCATCAGGGCCCGGCCCCCAGGTGTGTTACCTGTACGAGTCCAGAATGGGAGGGCGGCGGTGGCGGTGACCCTGGCTTCCCTGGCTGCTGAGTTTCAGGGACCAGAAGAGCAGCAGGGGACTCCGGCTTGCGGCTGACTCGCCAGCCAGCAGCTGCCCCACCAGCAGCAGGAGGTGGAGGAGGAGGAGGAGGAAACACCTCAGCAGGGCCTGATGCAAAACCGGGCCTGGACTCCCAGCTCCCCAGGGTGGGGGCGCCCCACAGCGGCCTTCGGAACCCAGAGCCCACTTGATGCGTGGGCCGGAGAGGTCTGGGGCTTGGCCCCAGCTCCACCGCAGACTCCCTGGGTAACTGGAGTTGGCTCCAGCCCCTTGGCTGGCCCATTTGTAGAATGGATAGGGTCCCCACCCTGCCCTCAGAGGAGCTGAGAGCAACTTGCTTTGAAAGCGGAGTTAGAAACCGGTCTTTCTAAGAACGGAAATGGAGGGGGTGCAGGCTTTGCAGCTCGGCATCCCTGAGCACTGTTCTTATCTGCTGCTGTGTGACCCACAGCAAGTCTCTGAGCCTCTCTGAGCTGCAGCCCCCTGCTGTGCAGTGGTAGCAGGGGCAAGGCGGCTGTGAGGGAGAGGAGCGCTGGTACAGCTGGTAGACAGCAGGCGCCAGGTGTCCCCTGTCCGACACAGCCCAACTGACTCTTCGGTGCCCACGCGCACCCCCTGGAGAGTGCTGGCCACAGCAGAGCAGCTCTCTCCTGCCCTCTGCCATCCTGGGCCCCATCTGAGTGCTAGGGGGAGGACCTCACCCCCTCTATGGGAAGCCCCCCATAGCCCCTGGATTCTGCACACCCCAAGAACATAGCAGGTGTGGGCTCTGGGTTGCACAGCCTTTGGGACTTGAACCTGTGGGGTTTTGTTCTGGTCTTGGGCACAAGAGGCCACGCCCAAACTGCTGGCTGCCCCAGATCTAGCTCAGTCCACTTCCCTACTCCTGAGGCTGAGGTGACAGGGTGCCTCACAGACCCTGGAGAGGGAGAGGCGAGGGGTGGGTTCTGAACAAAACCCCCCTCCGCCTGCCTCCATCATGGGACCAGAGCCAGGTGTCTGAACGTCACCCCCACCCTGAGACGCAGGGGCCTCTCTTCCATCCCCAGTCCGAGGGCCAGCCCTCCATTTTGTGCCAATAATTTTGAGCCCCTTTTATTTATTACTTTATTTAAATTAATTTATTAATTTGAAAGGCAGAGTGGAGCGGGGGATATACTTTGGTTCACTTCCCAAATGTCCCCATCAGCTAGGGCTGGGCCAGGCTGGAGCTAGGAGCCGGGAACTCCATCTGGTTTTCCCACATGGGAGGCAGGCTCTCAAGTACTTGGGCCATATTCTACTGCCGTCACAGGAACATCAGGAGGAATCTCAATCAGAAGTGGATCAGCTGGGACTCGAACCGGCACTCACCAGCACCGCAACATGGGATGCTGTTGTCACAAATGGTGGGCGGCCTCACCCGCAGCACCACAATGCCGGGCCCACCTTCATCTGCTCAGTGAGGGGTTATCCCTACAATTGAGACTCCTACAAGCTCTCCACCATGGGAGTGGTCACGACTCCAGATGGGAGGGGAGTGGTCAGCAGCAGCCCCGCCACTTCCACATCCTGGCCCCTGCTTCCCTCCCCGGAGACAGGAAGGCATCAAGCTCTGCGTAGCTGCGGGTTCTGCGCTTCCCACAGCTGTGACTTGTCACTATTTCCCACCAACTCTCCTGCTGTCCTCCCAGCCTGAAACCTTTGCGACGTCCGTCCCCACTCCTAACAGCTCCGCTCGCCCTGCCCCAGGCCCCAGACCTTTGCCATGCGTGTCCCCCTTCTCTGCCCACCCTCCAACCGCCGAGGGCTTGCTTCCTGCCCGGCTTCCTCCTCTCTGGTGCCTGCCCCACACCAGCTTGGTTTGCACTGCCAGCAGAGGGCCCCTCCCACACACTTTTGCTTCTCCTCGGATTGGAAGGTGCCAGCAGCCCAGCCAGGTAACCCTTGACCCATTCACATCCACTCCAGACCAACCCGGTGTCCTCTAGGCACCGTCACTAAGAACCTTACTGCCTCCCAGGCAGCCCCACCTCCTTTTGGGCTGCCCAAACCTCGGCCTGATGGTCCCTAGTCACCTGAACCCTTAGATCTTTAGCTGGACTCCCCTTCCCGCCCCCTCCACACCGTGCCTCTGCCATGCGGCTCCCACCTGGCCTCGGGTCAGTGAGTCTCCCTTATCCCACAGCGCCGTCGGACTGCTTCTCTCCAGCAGCCTCCACTCTCCGTTCCTCTGGATCACAGCACCGCATCCTCCGCAGACAGCCCCCCCATGCCAGCTCCCCGGGGCGGGGTGGGGGGGGGGGGTTCTGAGGCGGCTCTGGACCAGCTCCACTGTTGCCACCTCTGGGACCTCGGGCAAAGCATCTTCTCTGTGCGCTCACTGCTTTGTGGGCACAAGGGCAGGCAGGGTAGCACCTACCTTACAGGCCAGTCGTGCGCCTTTCTTTCAAGGCTCTGCACACAGTAGGCCCGCAGTAACTGCTGACAGTTTCCACAGCACCTGCTTCCCTCCTGTCTCCCCAAGGTAAATGTTAAGCTCTGTGGGACTGGAGCCAGCCTTGAAATGTTCCTCCCCATCCTGCGGTGGCTGTCCTTGGGAACCCTACCTCACCTCCCCGCCCCCAGCCACTCAGAGGGGAGGGAAGAGCTCTGAAGTGAGGGGACACCTCCGGCCGGTCCTGGTGACGTCGCAGGTGTGGATGCCACAGCACCGCAGAGTCCAGGATGAGCTGGCAGATGCCAGGGCAGCCCTCCGGCCAGCAGGTACAGCTTGTCCACTCGGGCCCCTGTAGGCTGTGCAAACAGCCCACAGGAGTCAGAGGCCAAATTCTCTGCTGGCTCAATGGAAGAGACACACAGGCAAGGCTGGGAAAGACTTCAGCAAGGAAGCCACTTTTCAATTTTTAAAAAAGACTTATTTATTAGAAATTGAGAGTTAGAGAGAAGGGGAGCGAGACTGATCCACTGATTCACTCTCCAGATGGCTGCAACAGCCAGAGCTGGACCAGGGCGAACCTGGGAGCGTCATCCGGGTCTCCTACATGGGTGCAGGGGCCCAAGGACTCGGGCCGTCTTCCACTGCTTTCCCAGGTCATTAGCAGGGAGCTGGATCGGAAGTGGAATGGCCAGGGCATGAAACTGGAGCCTATATGGGATGCCAGCATTGCAGGCAGCGGCTTTACCCACAACGCTGGCCCCAAGAAAGACGCTTTTAAGCTGGGCCTGGGGAAGGCGGCCAGGATTTCAACAGGCAAGTGAGTAGGCTGTGCAGAGGACGCCATGGGGGTGGGACAGGGCTCACACGGCCAGGGCTGCTCAGCCCCTACCCCAATCCTGCTGCCAAGTTCTTCCCTGTTAACAGGGAGTGCGGGAGGGGCTCCAACACTCGCCTCAAGGACAAGGCTCTGAGACAGTGAATGTGGAATGGCGGGAACCCCTGAGCCCAGGCACAGGAGCAGGATACCCACCTGCCTGTCCCAGGCATGCCTGCTGGCAACCAGACCCCACTCCCCTGCCACTGCCCTAGCCAGGGGGCAGAGGTATCAGGACACAGGAAGCGAAGGGGTGAGTGGCCACAGAGGGGAACAATGACAGGGCAGCATCCGGAGTCACAGGTCTTTATTGTCCTGCTCAGGAGCCCCTCACAAAGGGACCCATGGAGTGGGGGGAGGTGGGCAGCACAGGGCCCTTTGACAACTTGAGCAAACAGCCCCTCCTGCTGACAGCACACCCATGTTTTGGATTTAAGGGATGCCACCCCTGTAGGACATCCACAGCTGGGCCTTTCTACAGAGGGCCACTCCGCACAAGCCAGCTCTGCCTCACCCCACCAGCCAGGCCCCAAAACCGAGTGCTGGGAGGTCCCAGCAGAGGGGACAAGGAGGCTGCTGGCAGGTGGGGCCCAAACTACCCTAAGGGCAGCTGCTGGCAGGCACTGAAGGAGGGCCCAGCCAGCCCCTAGGACCACTGCTGGGGCCCAGGCGGCTAAAGCTCCAGGGCAGCTTAGATTCTCAGTGGGCCCCACCCTACCACGGAGCTAACAGCGGGGGAAGGCTCTTAACCCAGCTGCCATCTCTGCACTGCCTTGAACTTGGGGCCAAATGTCCTTCCCTCCTGGCACTGGGCTGACCCAGCAGGCAGTGGTGAGAGGGAGCTCTACCAGGCAGCTGCAGCTTTTCTAACAGACGAACCAAGAGGGTGCTACAGGGGTGGGGTCATGAGTCCGGGTGTGGGCACAGGGAGCTTGTGACGGCTGGTGAGTGGCAGGGCAAGCGGACACCCAACCCTGTCTCACGCTCACCCTCAGCCCTTCCATTCCACCCAGCCCAGACCCATGGGTCCGAAACAGCAGGCCAACCCTGCCTGTGGGGACGAGGAGAATCTGGAACCAAAAAGGGTAGCAGCTGCCTTCTTGAGGGTCTGGTGGGCTCAGGGCCTCTGGCAGCCATCACCGCAGGTTCAAGGCCAGGCTGAAGGTGAGGACGATGCCCAGGAGAAGCAGGAAGGGCAGCCAGGTCTTTACGAAGGCTCCGACGCTGACAGGGTGAGGATAGCACGGGTGGGCACAGCCAGGTGAGCAGGTGTGTGGCTCATAAAACCATCCTCCCGGACCTCAACAGCGCTGCCGCCCCCGAGGACGCCCCTGGAATCCCTTGGCCCCAGGTTTGGTCAATCAAGAGACAGGACCCAGACACGTCTCCCCCACAGAGGGGCCGTGCCAGGTGCCGACACCTCACTGGCTGGGCAGGAGAGACGAGCTCAGCTCCCTGGCCTCAGTGGCTCTGTCCCTAATCACCTGTCTCCAGGAAGAGGCCTCCAGCAAGAGAACCAGGAGCTGCAGAGTGTGGGGACCACGAGCGTCCTCAGTCCACGGCCCTCACCATGGGGGCCACCAAGGTGGGGGTGAGGACAAGAGCTGCTGCCAGAGGGCGTGGCTGGGCTTGACCCTGGCGCTGCCTCAGTCTCTGTGAACACAGTTCTGTTCTCAGGGGACCTCTAAAAGCCTTCCTGCTAGTCCCCTTTTCAGAAGCTTAATGACAAGCTTAATGACAGGTAGGAGGACAGCCTGGAGGGGCAGCCAGGCCAGCTCTCAGGCTCCCGAGTCGGGGCCCTGCTGGGGCACGGGCTGCTCCCCCAAGTTCTCGGAGCTCCCTCTTCACCTGTGAACTGGGACAAATACCTTCAACCCCACAAGCATCAGACAGCAGCTTCAAGGTCTGCCTGGGTTACCACTGGGTCCACCTGCCCGGAACCTCACCTCTGACAGGCCACCACGTCCTCCCATGGGGACCTACTTCTTCCCTTTGCCTGAGTAGACTCTGAGGAGCTGGAATCCTTGTCCCACCTGCCCAAGGACAGCTGCAGCGTGCAGAGGCCTCA